ACTGTGGACTCACCGCCATCCTACCGACGTTGTACTGCTGTTGCACTGTGGCTTAGTCCACCACTTGCCTCGCCACTTGACCACTTGCCCACTTGCCTATCTTCTTGAAGGTCTACAGCTAAGCTTCCAGAACTCACTAAGACTCCTACGCTATAGACCTACAGATCGAACCCCTGCTGTCTCTGGACCTACGACAGGTCTACCAACTGCCTATGAATACACAGGTCACAGGTTCAATTCTCGGGGTCTACACAGATACTGTACATGGGTAGGGTGAGGTCTAGGGATCGAACCCTGGGTATTGCATCCGCTACTGCTAAAAGGTGAAGTCATATATATATATGTAGGGTATATTTGGTAAGTCAGCAGTTATTCTTGGTCTTCTTGGTCTTCTTAAATTTCTCAGATTGACTTTAAATTTTTCTGGACTCTTTTTGTGGTTCTTAGATTGTTCTTAGTTGAAATTCTTAGATTGTTCTTAGCCGAAGCCAGATAATGGCCCTGGTATTCTCAGATTACTCTTAGACAAAGCCAGGTAATGACCCTGGTATTCTAAATTTATTGTATCATTTTTTATGGGACGCTGGGCCCGGTTCCCAGCATGTGCTGCTCCCCACGAATAGACTGGAGCATTTGTCCCCAAAAAAAAAAAAAAAAAAAAAAAAAGGGTATACATTTTTTTTTTGGAAAGTTTGGAGTTTTATTACAAAAGCCAAAACAGAGAGTCCGGGGACCTCACAAATCAACCTGGGGTTATCCTGGCAGCCTCAACCAGTTTTTTTTTTTTTTTTTTTTTAATCAAAAGTTTGAAGTTACATTGCCAATAATTGTCAAGGCCAGGGTCCTCACAGTCTACCTGGAAACAGTGACCATCTGGGAGCGTTACCCAGTTTCGCTTACAGGGGAAACCCTGCAGGGGACCAACCCCCTTGAGACAAAACGGCAAAAGACACCAGCAAACTACTACAATGACAGAAAACACCCTACTGTACTTAATTCACTAGGTGCCGCTCACATTCTTGGCCCTGCATAAGTGTTGCGGCCTCGAGCCAAGTGCATCTCCCTAAAATGGGAGATTGGAACCTAAAACTGTTCCATTTGATCAATCAGCACTCCCTCCAACCCCTCATACCACCATCTTCTGCCCTCCTACTGCGGAGTACATAACCGAGTGCCCAGGTATTTAGCTAGCCTCTGCCAGCTATTCGTCCAACACCACCCTGTTGTTAACTACTTTTGACAGTTTTTCCTCCTGGGCCCAGGTCCCCAGGAAACAGGTTAAACCCCCGGGTCGCTGTCTGGGACTGGAGACCTTCCTTCTCCAGTCGCTCATAATGACGAGTCTGATCTGTGTCTTCACTGAGTTCTTGATCGCTGCATCCGATAGAAAACGTCCTTCGAAGGCGCACTTGTTCCTTACCTCCCAGATGACTGTAAAGAGGCAGGCTCTCAGTGCCTGGGCAACGTAGCCCCAGCCTGCATGCAGAGGTAAGTCTTCCGGGACTCCCCCGAGAATCCAGTGATCGTCCCAGGGGAAGGCTGGGCCACTAATACGGTCCCAATGGCTTCTCCACCAGTTCCGAATATGAGCCGATAGTGGGCAAGAAAGCCAGAGGTGAGTAGTGGATTCGAAGAACCATTTGCATCTGCAACAGTGTAGTGGTATCTTCAATCCTCTCTCCGTTAGCCACACCGCGGATGGGGTGGCTAACAAAGTCAGCAGCCACAGCAGTGCTGCGGCTCTTGGCATTGGCGCCGCGTGACGCTGTTCCCAACAGCACGTGAGGGACTGCACAAGATTCATCTTCTTCAAAAACGGTAACTTGGGACCATCTGCTGAGTGCCACCATCAGCGGGGTCCTGTTCGATCGTGTAAGGCCATACCCCATCGACGACGTGTAGTCCGTCAGCCACTTGGCCTGTGGGGCCGTTTGGCCTACCCAGAGGGAGCAAGTCCAGTTCCCTTCCTCGTCACAGCTCACCCGGACCCTCACTTGTGCTAGATTGCCCAGCGGTCTGTCTCTTTGACTCTGTGATCCTTCTTCTTCAATCAACTGCAGTTGTGGGGAGCCTGCTTGCTTCACCCGTGCTTCAAAAAGTCTGCCTCCTTCTTCGTCGATGTTGAGAAGCTTCCAGAAAACCTCCGGTTGATCTATTGTCCCAGTCTGTTTCTCCGATTCCTCCTTGAACCAGGTGCCAGGGGGAGGTACTCCCTGCGGACTGAGGACATGATGCCAGGCTTGTGGTATGGTGTCCAGCAACTGGGCAAATCGGATTTCTATCTGCCTGAGCCTTCCAAGCTTGTTCTCTAGTTCTGAGCAAGCGCACCACTGCCCCGTGAATGGGTTTCCATATGTCAGCCACTCGAAGGATTCCTCTTTCAATCCAGGCTCGGCCAAATGCTTCCCGCGCGCAGCCTGCCGAGAAAGGTCTTCCATCCGGGGCGATGATTGCTGGGTTGTCGAACAGTGGCTACGATAGGACCTCCTCCCTTGTGGATGGCGCCGTCCATGTGCGGGGGCCGACCTTCTTCCATGCCTGAAGCACTCCTCTCCAAAGTTTAGATTTGACTTGTCGCCTCAGAAAGGAATCCATCATGCAACAAGTCCATACGTCACTGATTCTTGGCAGCTTCCAGTCTTCCACCAGCAACTGTTCCGCGAGCAGCACCCAGAGGTCTTCTGAGTCATTGCTTATCGCTCTGGTAACCCATTTTGCAAGCAAGGCGTTGTTCTGTCTTCCTGGGTCCAGCATGCCCAGGCCTCCCTCCATGTGAACACAGCAGATACGTTCCCATGCAACCTTCGTAATGAAGCCCGCTTCGGTATTGCCATATGGCTTCCAGATGAATCCTGATGCTGCTCTTCGGACCACCTTCAACAGTTGTTTGCCCAGCGTTCTGACGGTGCCTACAAACCGCAGAAGCGAGAACAGAGCCACATTCGTAAATAATGCTCTACCGAACAGCGACAGGTGTTGGGCTGGACCCCACACCGCGATTCTACACACGATTTTCTGCTGGAGAATATCATTCTGGCATCTGCACACTTGCTAAGTGCAAT